CCTTCGCCAATCCACCCTTCAGCAGGACAGCCGTCGCCTCTCAACGGAGGCACCGCGATGGAGCATCGGATGTCGCCACTGCACCACCGCTTCGCCAACAACCCTTCGCCGCAGCATCATCCGCTCAGCAACAACTTCCTGAACAGAATCCCCACATTCGAGCAGCTCTCACACAGACAGGACGAGCCAGAAGACGGATTCGCACGACGAATCTCCGAGGATGCTTCCAGCGTGTCAACGGACGTCCACGCGGAAACTTCCTGGACGGTGTGCTCGGAGGAGTCAGCGGCTTCTGTTGACCCTGCTCTCGGGACGTCTAGAAGTCCCGAGCATCCCGCTTCGTATCACCCGCACGGGAGCCACGTCGCCAGCGTTGCATCTGCCACCGCTCCTTCCGCGCGTGGAGCTTCAGAAGCCGCGGGTTTGGCGCTCACCCAACTTCTCCCGCAGTTTTTGGAGGCGCTGGACTGCCTATCCGACCCGCAACCCGGCGAGTCGGATATTCACGTGCTCTCGCGACACCTCAATGGCGCGAAGGATTTGAAGCTCATGGCTCGCGACGCCGCGGTACGCAGTTTTATGGTTGAAATGGGAGCAGCGGAAGTGCTGGTGTTGCTTGTAAACGGCGTGTTAGAAGCGGAGGAAAGGAGTGAGTTAATGGATTTCCGGTATCAAGTTGCTGAGGAGGCAGCTGCCGCGATGCTAAATCTGTCTCTAGATAAGCCTGCCAAGCACATGATGAGGAGCCATGACGTCATCCCTTGCGTTGTGAGATTGGCTGACGTCACACGTAGCAGTCCAGTCTGCCACGATGACGCCAGGGGAAGTCACGCCTTACCCAGCAGTAATCAGCAGAATGCCATCAGCAGTGGCTCTGACGGTAGCACCTGCAATGCCAGCGCCAGCTCCGCGCATTTGCCTCTTAGAGAGCTCGCTGCAGAGATAATCCACAGTCTTGCTATGGAGCCATCGCTGAGAGAGGATCTAGCGGTTCCGGGCATCGTGAAACCGCTGGTAGGCCTGTTGAGGGAGTCAGCATGCAGCAACAAGGGACGGGTGGGCGCATTGTATACGCTATACTTCTTATCAAAGAGCGAATATGGGAGGTTGGCTCTTGCGTATCACGGCGCTGTGCCTTTGCTGCTGGAGGTGGCGCTGTGCGGTACGCGGAAAGGAAACCATTTGTATGCGAAGCAGTCGGAAAAGTTCTTTGACAAGGCCATCCATGCACTGGAAAATGTGTGCGAGGAAAGATCAGGCCGTTTAGCTTTGGTAAGAAGCAAAGTTAATCACTGTTCCAGTGAAAATGGTGTTGGTGGCTCCGACGGCAATCCTCAAAGCGGACGCTGCACTGAAGTTTCAGGACTTCAAGGGCTTTTCAAACTTCTTGCAAATGGGCGAGAGGTGACGAGAAAGCATGCTGTTTCAATTCTACACCGAATTATAAAAAATGCTGGAGAAGGCAGTGAGCAAGTTTTGGACGAGACTTGGTTTTTGCTGCGAGAGGAAAAGCCAAGGCCACATTTTAAGGCTTTAGCAAATGGTGGTGATGGATTCCCCAAAGCCCAGCAACTTTTGAGGGTTTTGTTTCCTGTCGAAGTGGCAAAAGACGCAGTATGCTGACTTCTCCTATAGAAGCTTCATTGCATCAACCACTTACCATAACTTTCCTTGATAGTTCTTCCTGAACAGAATGATATGCACTTCTGAATGGTGTGCTGCTGTGCAGGAATTTGTTTGGACGTACATGCAATGGATTTGGTTGGACTTGAGCTGGACGCTTGTGCTAAATTCTTCACCCTAACGTGTCAGATCAGATGCTTTTTGTGATGATTACACCTAGTAGGGAGCATTCTGGTGGGGTAAAGGGTGGGCGCAACTCTAGCCTTCATTCATTGACCCATTAGTCACTCAGGTAGCTCTTCAAGCGCATCAAGACACTTCTGAGCATGCAAAGCAACACTGTCAGCAACTTTGCAAACCAAACTCATGTGATTTTCCAAGATGCTTTCCAGACGCACTGCTGTCTCCTTCATCTCCTCCATTGCTTGGAACTCTGCCTGGCTCTGCTGCTCGAGCTGCATGCCGCGATCCTGCTCGTGGAAGGACAAACCTTTAAGAGCTTTTAGCAGATGTTAGCAGAATTCACAATATACTAGGAAACGCACCTGGCTCTCCTGCCTCAGAGTTTCCAGACATGCTGCACGGTTCTCAATCTCCACACTTGCCCGTAATTCACGCCTTTTGATGTCTTCTAAGCGTGCCTGCACCTCCTGCCGAGCACGCTGAGATGCCTGCAACATCTCTTCCTCTTCCTGCAACAGTGTACACATATCACTCTCCGGAATAGGCGAGCCCACTGTGATAACCTACAAAATTCATCTTCAGCTCATTCAGTGCCAGAACAAGTTCCACTGTAATAACCTACCCGTTTTTTCACATCCTCCTTCATTTCCAGCTCGGCAGCAATCTTAGCAACCTCCTCCGACTCCTCAGCCAGCTGGATATCCAGTGTTGCCAGTTCAGCATACAGCCTCTGTTCTTTCGATGAGTACCTCTGCGCCACTTCTTGAATCGCTGCACGGATATCTGCCTTGGACATGCTGTCAGATAATATATCTCGAGCGTTTGTTGCATGCGGATTTACTCGTATAGAGAAGCAACGGCCCTGAGCATGCTTGCTTGATGGAGGAATAAGCTTGAGCCTGCACAGCATTTACGAAGCATTAAAAGAGAGATAGTACAGTGAAGCATTCCATGAAGAACTATTACCAACCTGGTCGCAGTCTCATTGAATGTGTTTGCTGCTTGTTCGAGCTCCTCCATGGTCTTAACCTTTTGAACCTCCGCCTTGCATGCCTCCTTTTCAACTTGCATCCGATTTTCCTTTAGAGCCTTTAACACGGCGTTCCTGCCAGCTAACCTCTCTGCCATGCGTTCTATGTCCTCTTTTGAGAATTTCTGTTCCTCAATCCGCTTCTGAAGCAGTGCATTGTTTGCCTGGATGCTGATTGTGGTCTCGGTGCAACTCTTCAGCTCTTGCTGTTTATCCAGCAAGATTTCCTCAAATGTCTGGAACATTTTGCAATGTTAGCGTTGGTTAAACGTAGCAAAAGACAGAAACTTGCTGAGACCGACCTGTAAGTCCATCTTCCCTCGTTCAGTCGCATTGACCAACTCGCCCTGCTGTTTCTCGAGCGTTACTTTGTCCTCCAATAGCTTCTCGAGTTCAGACCTATCCTGCTTGCTCTTCAAGGTGGCCTGTGGCACAGAAAAGAAGTGCTGTCAAACTGTCCTCGTTCAGAAACAAATCCAACAATACCCACTTACCTCCTTTCTCAGAAGCTCCTCTCGAAGATTTTGCACATTGCTTTCCACCTCCTGTCGAGCTCCCTCGAAATAAGCCAGGAACTGTTGCATTAGGTGCTCGATTCTTGTGTCCGAAAGTTCCTCAGTTTCGGCGTTCATAAAAACATAGTACCCCTCCTTCATGAACTCAAAGAACACAGCCCTGCAATGCTCCTCATCAAGCAATGTCTCCAAAGTCGGGTTTGTCAGACTACTCTCAAAGCCTCGAGCTGTCGACGACGCAGGTTGCGCTGGAATAGCTCCGGGATCGGACGTAGCATCAAGGAAGTTAAGCGTCTGAACAAGCCAGTTCAGCATCGACAGCAAGGGTGGCCATGTGTGGGGAGTTCCAGCCTGCTGCAGCGAGCTTCGAGAAATGTTGTACGGATAGTGCAGCCCCTTCATGACTTCCAAAATGTCATCTTCAGGCTTGTTTCCATACTTGAACTTCGTATCCATCTGCTTCATCACGAACTCGAAGATCTTAATGAAGAGCTTACCTGACGGAAGCTGAAGCATGCTAGGATTCAGCGAGTTATCAAAACCACGGTCCTCCAGAAATGCATAAATGGTCTGAATGCAATCTGCTTGGTAATTTTTGTCTTTCAGCGGACGAGGGTCCTCTCCAGGCTTCTTTACTGAGCTAAGTATACTGTGAGACTGGGGAACGATGGAAGACCCTCCCTTGGCGAGGACAGAGACGCGGCTGGGCTGGATAGCAGAACCAATTTCAGAAAAACGTCTGGATAAACCTGAAGCAGCGACAGGCGTCTCAAAGCTTGAACCAGACGATGAGGGGCGTGACTTGGATGAAGTCATGGTCTTTGGCGTGGCTTCAAAATCATTGCCTTGATTTGGTAGCGGAGTGCACGGAATTCGGCTGATTGACGGAGGTGGTGGAACTTTGAACATCCCAGCACTACCGACGCTTTGATTCCGTTTTTTCAGCCTTGAATCCATTGGAAACAACAAGCAGGAAACGGAAAAGAAATCGCTGAACAGGGAGATAGCCAGAAAAGGAGGTCGAGCTGATAGGTACTAAGGAGCAGAATAAGTGACTGAAATGGGCTGGTAAGCTTGGGAGGTCAAGCTTCCTGTTGATTTGAATGTTTCTTGGCGAATCCCAAGGGGCTTCACATGCGCAGTCCTTCTTTCGGAGTGATTCATTTACAACAAATTTACAACAGAGTGCACCTTCTCTACTTACACGCCAAGCCCAAACGAAATTCATCTTACGTTATGTGGAACGAACTTCCCCAACCCCAACCCCCGCTTCAGTAACAAGCCACCACCGATTTGCGCCTGAACCTCGAAGTTGGGGAGCGGTGTCGGAGTTCCCGCCAAGTGCTTGGAAGATGTTGAGCCAAGAAGGTTCACTTCGCTCCCATGAATGTGGATTTCATTCACTCCATAGCTATACTGCGTTTGTACTAACTAGCCTGCAAACGTTCACTTCGGTTGCCTAATCAGTCGATCGCCTGACGGATCTTCGACGTAGAATACTAGAGCTTGTTTGTCTAGTGTGGCTGTACGAGTCAAGTGGTTCCTCGCCGTATTTTGGGTGCACCTGTCGCCGCGTCCACTGTGCAGGCTAGCAGATTAATTGCTTTAATCTCGTTCGTTAACTGGTCGATCCTTGAGGTCGATCCTCGATGTCCCGACCGCAGCTCTTCGTTCCCCAGCCGGGGCAATCAGGGCCGTCCAATTCGCTACCTTCAGGATGGCAGTCCGTTCCGCAAGTGAGTTCACGGCTCCATAGCGCGGTGAACGGTACTTCACGGCTTGGAAGCGTAGAAAGCGCACACGGAGGGCATGGGAAAGGCACATGGTTGTTGCTGTGAGTTTCCCACGTCGCGGTATTTGTGGTCATAGCAAGCTTCACTCTCTTCCCTTGTCATCCATTTTGTCGGGCAAAACTTACTCACGTGGATCCCTCCTTCCATCCATACTTATCCAGGGCCCTCCTGGACCGTTTGATCAATTCAGTGGACCGCCAGGATACCGTCCACCGGCTGGCGGAGCAGGGATGCAGCAGCAGCAGCAGCAGCAGCAGCCGGGATTCGGCTTCGGTCCGCCACAGGGGCCTCCTGGCGGAATTGGCGGAGGTGGCGGATTTGGATTCGGGGGCCCTGCGCCCGGCGGAGGACCCATGGGTCCGCCGGGAATGATGGGAGGTCCGGGGGGAGGAGCGGATGGGGGTCATAACCCGCTAAACGACATGCTCGCGGGGGCTGGGTCAGGGTTCATTCGGTCGGGCCTGGGTGCTTATGGCGAGCGTCTACTAGGAAGCAGTCGCGCCTACGTTCAAAACAACGTGAGCGCCTCGTTAGGTTTGGGTAGGCCACGTGTGTGCGGATTCGAGGGCTGGTAGCGTAGCTGTGTGACTGTGCGCCCTCTGTGCGTCTGTGGCGAGTTCTCTGCGCCTGTTCGTCCACTGACATGTGAGAGCAGATCAATCCCACCTCAAGTGGCTGGAGAATGAGGGTGCAGTGCGTTTCTTGTCTCCTCTCCATCCCTTCTAATCTCCTCTCCATGGCTTCTCCGTCGCCTGTCCTTGTCTTCTTCATCCCCACGTTGCTCTCATTCTCATTCCCGCGTGGTGTGTGTGCAGGTGGGCAAGTACTTTGCATCCACTGACTTTCATTACTACTTCCATGTCAACGACGCCTACGTGCGCAACAAACTCAAAATCATCGTCTTCCCGTTCCTACACAAGGTAGGGTCTGTTCAGATAAATAAATAGCCATGAACTCAGCAAGCTTAAAAACATTGGAACTGCACTCCCAGTCCTGACAAAGTACGGTGGAGTGTCAATCAACCCAAAAATCAACCACTCGTATAAGCAGAGCATGCTCACACTGACTGGAGCTTCCCTCCCAGTCCTGGACAAGGTATGGTCAGATTTTTTTACCGCAATCTCTGACCCATCCCATCCATATACCCTGTCCGTGTCTGTTCAATCTAGGCCGAAACTGTGCTTTCGTGCACATCTCAGTTAACTGTTCATTGGCAACCCACTGAGTCTCTCAGTCAGCACGCTTCACTCGCTTCCATGGCAGGGCCACTGGACGAGGGTGGCGGAGCAGGTGGCAGGGGGGCTGACATACAAGCCGCCATGACTTTTGAGGTGCCTCAAAAGGAAACCCATTGAGCCCCTTAGTCAGCATGCTTCACTCACATGATCACATCCATGGCAGGGTCACTGGACACGGGTGGCGGAGCAGGTGGCGGGGGGGCTGACGTACAAGCCGCCATGCAATGACATCAACGCCCCGGACCTCTACATCCCCGCCATGGCCTTCGCCACCTACGTGGTGCTCGCTGGTCTCTCCGCTGGGCTGCTGGGCAGGTAGGGAGGGAAGGAGGGCTGAGATGTTGGGGTTGACATACAAGCTGGGGCAGGAGCAAGTGAGTTGGGGGGTGAGTTAGGAAGTGGCGGGGCAGGTGGCCGGACCTGCCATGGCCTTCGCCACCTACGTGGTGCTCGCTGGACTCTCCGCGGGGCTGCTTGGAAGGTAGGGAGTTTGAGTGAGGAAGAGGTGTTGGATTTGATGGGTGAGATGTTGGAGTTCATGGGTCAGGTGTAGGGGTTGACAGGTCAGAGTGGTCGGTGGCTTGTTATTTTGGAGTGGGAGGGTCAGGAAGGTTGCATGCCACACAAGTGGGTGTGGGGCGAGGATTTCTGGATAGAAGCATTGGAGCACTTACTGGTGTTGCTGCGAATGCCTTCCTCGATTCAAAGGGTGATTTTATCTTTTTGCGGCATGCAGGTTCGCTCCAGCATTTGTGAATGCACGTGTTGGCAAGGGATTAATCGGATGGTTTTTGGAGGTGCTGCTGCTTCGAACGATACTCTACTCGTTGGCATCAGGCGATGCGCCGTTGCTCGATCTTGTGGCATACGCTGGCTACATGTTTGTTGGCATCTCTCTGACAAATCTTTCTTGGGTCGTCTGGCGGATGGCCTACTTTCCGGTTCTGATTTGGACAAGGTGAGTGGTCGAGGGCCAGCTGGCTTATCAGAGAAGAAGCGTTTTCGGCTACAGAAGGTTTCTTCACGCCCTTCATGTGGATGCTGCATCACCAATGTGCTGTTTGTGTAGGGAGGAGTAAAATGATTGTATTATGACATTTTTTTTTGTTTGAATTTGCTGCAGCTTGTGCATGGCAATGTTTCTTGTGAAGACAATGAAGCGGGTGATGTTTGCGGAGACCCGGCACTACGACCGTGACTCGTCGCGACACCGGTACATGCTCCTCGCCATGGGTGCTGCACAATTCCCCTTGGCATTGTGGCTTGGCAAGCTTTAGACCACCTGACTAAAGTATAGGGTAGGTCCATAAAGAGCACACTCATTGAGTTCTTATAGGTTCTTTGTCTTGTGTGTTTTAAGGCGATATATATCCAACTTTACACTAACCTAGCTTGCATCTTGTGACGAACTCTCCCAAACGCGGTTGTGCTCTTGTGACCCTTGGATAAATCGAACGGCATTATTCTCTCTGTACAAATACAGTGAATACCATATGTATTCCCATTTCCTTTAAATGATACCATTCCCCACCCTCCTACCATGTTTTAACCTATCGGATCTATGTAATTTGGAAGATATAGACATTCCAGCCGTACATGGTACCTGCATGTCAAATGTTTATATTATTTTGATAAGCCGCACTGGGGTAGTTCTTAGAGGGTACATGCTGCAGGCTAGACAAATACAACATTCTGACACACCCCCATAGCCAAAGTGGGGTGTAATCAGCACAATGAGCAGGTATAGCAGGAGTTCACAATAAGAAGCAAAGCTGGAGGTAATCACAGCGGGCAAGTGAGGAGGAGGAGGGACTGTGAGAGGAGAGAAGATGAGAGACGGAGGCTGAAGCTGCAGACACACGGGCAACAGGAGCTGCTGGCACAGTGGCTACCGGGGCAGTGCGCCCCGGACTACTGGAGTAACTGGCTCACGGGCTACGAGGAGCTACAGGAGCAACGGACCCACGGGCGACAGGCGCAGCAGACTCTCTGGGCTACCAGGACAGTGCGCCCCGGACTACAGGCGCTGCGGACGACAAGACAGCAGCCTCCGCTCAACCTCCCCCGACCGTCCCACACCCCTCTCACACACCCCCTGCTGAAACCCTAGCTCCACTCCCACGGTACCCCCCTTAAACCCTAAACCCTCGGCTCCCACACACCCACCCCCCTCAGCGGCAGCTGCAGCAGTGGGAGACGGAGGAGGAGGAGTAGGGGACGGTTCACACACCCGTCACCCCCAGAACCGCCACCCCCGCACTCGCCACCCCCAAACCCTAAAACGGGTGGCACGGGGCACGAGCGCGGGGGACGGCTCGAGGGGACGGCGCGCGGCCCCCAGGGCGCCACCATGGGACAGCGGGGGGGGGGCCGCGCGCGGCTCCCCAAGGCGCCGCGACGGGGCAGCGGGGGTCGTGCGCGGTTCCAGGGGCGGCGCGCGGGTCCAGCGGGGCAGCGCGCGGGTCCCCGGGGGCGACGCGAGGGTCGACGGGGGGGCAGCGCGCGGATCCCGCAGGGCGGCGCGCGGGTCCAGCGGGGCAGCGCGCGATCCGACGGTGGGGGGGTGCGCGCGGGTCCCCTGAGGCGACGCGAGGGTCGACGGGGGGCGCGCGCTGGTCCCCGGGGGCGACGCGACGGTCGACGGGGGGGGGGGGCGCGCCATGCAGAAAACCGCCGCGCGCCACGAGGCGGTCGGCGGGCAGAAAACCGCCGCGCGCCCCGAGCGCACGGCGGGATGAAAAACGCCAGAAAAAAAATTCGCCGCGCGCTCCGCGCGCGGCAGGAAGAAGTCGTCGCGCGCCCGAGGCGCACGACAGGAAGTAGAGCAGCGGAAGCGTTAGGTGGTGGGCCCACCCACAGGATCGACCCAAGGGGATCGACCTGCTCTGATAGCATGTCAGAACTAGCAGTAGAAAGTGAGAATGAAGAAAGGAGGGGTTGCACTAGCAAGCAGTTGAGTACATATAGGAAACCCTAGATTGGGCTGTACTCGCTATAGAGTACCCCACTGCAGGCTAGACAAATATAACATTCTGACAACATCTTGTGCCCTATGCTTCCTATTAACATCATACTCTCCTACCTAACTTACTTCCTTAGCTTCTTAGATTATGAGATGGTATTAGCTAGGTCGTTCCTAGGTCCTAGCCTCGTGTCGCCCCGTGACGCCTCGTTCCGCTCCGTGACGCCTTAAATCGCATCGTTCCGCGCTGCCTTACGCTTCCCGCGCTACCCCATGCTCCTCGCTCTGCCCTTCCTATACGACCCGCGCGCATGCGCACAGCAGCACGCACGCACGGCAGAGCCTAGTGCGCGCGCTCCGCAGCAGCCTCGCACGCACGTACGGCCCCGCGCGCACGCACGGCATGCGCCGCACGCACAGCAGCCACCGCCGCGCGCCCTGAAACCGCCGCCGCGCGCCCTGAAACCGCCGCCGCGCGCCCTGAAACCGCCGCCGCGCGCCCTGAAACCGCCGCCGCGCGCCCTGTCCGCTCTGCCAGCGCCCGGCCCCGTCCCATGCTGCACCCTGCCCTGCCGCCAGCGCGCGAGGCCGCACGCACGCCACTACGCGTGAGCAAACGCGCGCAGCAGCTGTACGTGCACGCACAGCTGCATACGCAACAGGATCCGTGCGCGCAGCAGCAAGAGTTACGCACACAGCTACCCGCGCACTAGGAGTCGCGCGTACAGCAGCAGTAGCGACTGCTCGTACCTTGACAGTCCACCCCGCTCCCTACCGCACTAGTCTTTACCCTACCATGTTTGACCGCTCTCCACCGCACTCGACCGTACCCGACCATGCTAGACCGTACTCCAACCCACTCGTACATGCTATCTACCATCAACCTACTACCATAGGCGTTCCTAGCGGCGGCTGGCAGCCGCAGTCGACTCTCCTCTCGACGTTTAGTGCTCGTGTCTCGTACGGCCTATCGCTCCCCGCCTAGTACCTCTCATATAACCACCTTGGCGTGTCTCAGTTCCGTTCGCTCCTAGTGCCTAGCATGGCATCCTCTCGAGTCCTACGTTTCGACGCTGAGGGTCGTCCGACCGAGTTCAACACGTGGCTTACCCATGCCCAACGCCACCTTAGGAGCCTACGTCAGGATGGCGCCAACCTCTTTGCTCACGCGAGTGGCACAATCCAGACCCCTCCGCGCCATAGTTCCCTACCTACTGTGCCTCCACCCACTGCTGATCAGCAGGCTGAGTACGATAGGCTGTTCTTAGCGCGTGACGTCTGGGAGTCTCGTGATGCCGATACTTGCAACGCCCTCATCGACCTTCTTCCGCCAACTGAGGCAGTCCACTTATCACAGTGTGACTCGGCAAGGGACTTGTACGACGCTATTCTTGCTCACTATCGCACCCCTTCCTCTACCTCTCTCAGCCGCCTCCATATGCCTTTTGTTTTTCCTGACCTTGGCTCGTTCGAGACGGTATCCGATCTTGTCACCCACCTCCGCTCTCTTGACACTAGCTTTCGTGCTGCCTGCACTGAGGAACAACTCAAATTTGCCCCACCGCCTATATGGCTTACCCTCTACTGGTTAGTCACTCGCCTCCCTGACCGCCTCTCCTCTGCCCGCGACATGCTTCTCCTGAAGCACCCCACTGAGCTCACCATCGATCTTCTTGAGTCTACCCTCACTAAGATCGAGAGCAACCTCCATACTGTTGCCGCTACCACTGCTGTGGTGCCTCCCCGTCTCTTTGACGGTTGCACTGCACCTCAGCTTCCCACGTTCACCGCTTCTCTTGCCACTGCTGCGTTGTCTGGTTCTGAGGAGACAACAGCCGTTTCTGTCGCTAGTGGGAAGAAACGAGGCAAGGGATGTAGGAGAGGGGGGAAGGTTGGTGGTGTTGGTGGTGGTGGTGGTAGTGGTGGTGGTGGAGGTGGTGGAGGCAGTGGTGGTCTACGAGAAGATCTGGCTACACTACAGGCGCGCATACCGACCAAACTGACCAGCTCATTACGAATGTTTGTAGACATGCAGTTAGTGCCATATTCTTGCCAGTCCACTAGATTAGGCCTTCTAATTCAACAACACTAGGTTATAACATTTCCGATCCACATAGTTTGGTAGATTTCAGAGTTCCAGTTCCGCCTTGTACCTACACACAAGTGTGCATACGGGTACTAACCTTACCGGCAGACGCATTATTCTTTCTGTACAAATACAACGAATACCATATGTATTCCCATTCCTTTAAATTAAACCATTCCCCATCCCCCTACCATGTTTTAACCTATCGGATCTATTTAATTTGGCAGATATAGACATTCCAGCCATACATGGTACCTGCACTACAAGCGCGCATACCGACCAAACTGACCAGCGCATTACGTATGGGTGTAGAGATACAGTTAGTGCCATATTCTTGCCAGTCCACTAGATTAGGCCTTCTACTTCAACAACACTAGGTTATAACCTTTCCGATCCACATAATTTGGGAGATTTCAGGGTTCCAGTTCCGCCTTGTACCTACACACAAGCGTGCATACTGACCTTACCGGGCGACGCATTATTCTCTCTGTACAAATACATTGAATACCATATGTATTCCCATTTCCTTTAAATTATACCATTCCCCACCCCCCTACCATGTTTTGACCTATCGGATCTATGTAATTTGGCAGATATAGACATTCCAGTCGTACATGGTACCTGCACTACATGCGTGCATATTGACCAAACTGACCAGCGCAATACGTATGTTTGTAAAGATACAGGTAGCGCCATATTCTTCCCAGTCCATTAGATTAGGCCTTATACTTCATTAACAATTGGTTATAGCATTTCCGATCAACATAGTTCGGGAGATTTCAGAGTTTCATCTCCGCTTTGTACCTACACACAAGCGCGCATACTGACCTTACCGGCCGACGCATTATTCTCTCTGTAAAAAAATAGCGAATACCATATGTATTTCCATTTCCTTTAAATGATACCATTCCCCACCCCCTTACCATGTTTAAACTTACCATCGGATCTATGTAATTTGACATATATAGAAATTTCAGTCGTACATGGTACCTGCACTACAGGCGCGCATACGGACCAAACTGACCAGCGCA